CGAGCCAGCAACGTAGTCCAAGCTCTGGGTGCAGGCTGCCCCGAAGCTGGTGGCCTCCACCCACCAGCCAGGGGACGGGGGAAGGTTGAAGTATCCCACAATGGGCGGGCATGCGGCATGCTGCTTGTGTGTGCATTTTTGTAGGTGCGGTTTGATGGTTGTGTGGTTTGATTGTATATGTGTGATCCGTTCTTTGCGGCTTGCAATGACTATGTCTACTGCATCGCCGGTATTCAGTGAGCTTGTCAAAGGCTTAAACTCGTAGAGAACATGGCCCCGTGAAAGCTGCGACGAGGGGCTGCAGTTCATGTTGCAAACATGAATGATTCCTGCCCCTCTGACCAACATGGAAGCTCCCTGAACAGGCCAAGACTTACATGCTCTAAAAATGAGGGAGCCCGCATTCTGGGTGGCTTCGCTGTGGTTTCCCTCCTTAAAACCCAAAACAGGGGGCACCTCCACAACAGACAAACCCCATTGTCAAAACCATGGCCCGTTTTTAGACCTGGGCGCCTGTGGCCTTGCACCTTCCCCCGGCGCCTGGAAGACCGCGTTCCAGCGGTCCATCGGCTTGGGCGGCGCCCAGCGCAGGGCCCCCACCGGGGGCTGGGCGAAGGGGATGCCCAGGAACTCCTTGACCGAGGCCAGCTGGTTGCCTGCCGGGCCGCTTTCGTGCTGGTGCTCGGTGGGGAAAATGAGGAAATCCCACAAAAAACCATCCAACTGGTGGGTTCCTTAAAGGGAATCCCCAGTTTCAGTCCCACATTCCCGACCGATCGCGCCAGCGAGTTTTGCCCCCAGAAATCGGCCCGTTCGAAGTGGTTTGGGGCAGCTTTCAGGGAGGCTCCGGAGATGGGGTTTTAAAAAAGGGGACCTGCGCTTATTTGTGAGTAAGTTGTTTTGTGACCTACAAATAAAAGACGGATAATGATAGAGGCACTTGCCTCTTCCCGATCTTTGCCTTCTCTTCTCAGCCACAAGATCCCCGAGAGATGAGCCGCGGCTCTGCGCCACATGCATTCCCATCAAGTCAGGTCTTCTCAAGTCTCACCACACAAACGCTTCTTTGGCAAAATGGAAGCCTTTCCTCGCCTGTGTTGCTCTCCCTGGACCAACCAGGCTTGTAGGCAAAGAGAATCCCACAAAGCCACTGCAGCTCCCTGCCCATTTCTTTTTTCTTCGGGTCTGAATTGGCATCCCGAAGGGACAACAAGAACACCTTCTTTCCCTCGTGCCGTGAACACTTAGAGACATAGCGCATTTGTGCAGCCAACACCAAAAAAACAAATCCCTTAAGTCAGGCCAAAAAATCGACAAGAAAGAAAGGTGTCCGCCATACCCTGCCCCACCTCCCTCCCTCCCTCCCTCGCTCCCTCCCTCCCTCCCTGCCTTGCACCTGGCCGGTGGTCGTGTCCACCACCGCGCTCGCCGCCTTCGCCGAAGCATTCGCCGCGGCCCGCACCTTCGCCGGCGCCGCGGCCGCGGCCGCGGCCGCCGCGGCCACATCGTCAGCCGGCGCGCCGGGGCCAGGCACGGAGCCTTGGCTCGCGATTCCCAAAGCCTTCCGAAAGGGGTCGTACCATGTCTTCCTAAGTCCGTGGATCAGCGCCTGGTTTGGTCTCATATCAGCGTCTCTTTGGCATTGGCTGCTGTTTTTGGCTTTAGTTGAAGGCTGTGAGACAATCCCCAGGGTTGTGACAAGATCAAGGAGCCTCCATGAGTCCACTGGAGTTTCTCATGGATCACAAAGGGCGAATGCCACTCCGGCGTTGGCAAGGCTGACTGACCGGAAGGAGGAGCGGCTCAAACCACGCCAAAATTCCTGGATGTGTTTAAGCTGCACAGGCACCTTCTGAGACCTCGATCCAGACGAGGCACAAGCCTCAAAGCACACGTTGGGCCCTGGCTGGAAGGACATGTCCTGGACAGCGCCCGCGATTGAATCATGGCCATCGCCGGTCACATGCGTTTCTTTTTTCCTCCCCCTCTCTGTCTCTGTCACTCTCATCAGGACCAAATGCGAAATCGCTTTCTCATGTCCCAAAGATCCTGCTCCGAGCTCTGCCTCAATCCTTGGAGTCCCATCAAAAAATGGGTTGGACTGTTCCTTGGCCAAACCAAAATTGCCCTTTGGATGCTACTTGTAGCTCAAATCAGATCATGTCGGCCTGCTGAGCGACACAGGTCCATTCCAACCATCCAAAGGCTTGGACACTTTGGCGGACATCATTGTTTTATGTCCATCAACCATCTTTCGCATTATTCCAACCATGAACAACTCTGTGCCAGCCCGAGCTCAGGCTCCCTAGCCTCCCTCCCTCCCCTCCTCCGGGGTGCAGTGCTGTCGCCACTCGCAGTAGGCGCTGAGGCACTGCTGCCACGTCTCGTGGCCCATGCACTCGTCCGCCCAGCGGCACTGCGACACGCGGCCGTCCCAAAAGCACCTCAAGCGAAGGACAGGCACTCTGACTTCACCGCGGTGGCCGACTTGTGGACAAAGATAGTTGTGGCAAATGCAGGCTTGGTGGACAACCCAATGGAGTGGTGGATTCACATAGTGGATGACCTTGGTGTTTGCCTGTACCTTGCCTCGTATTCAAGAGAGTGGGTGTTACAAATTCTGAATGCCCGTCACTTCAGGACCGAAATCCAGAAGAGAGGGTGGCACCAGGCGAATAGGAGTTTCCAAAGCAGGTTCTTTGCCACTGACTCGCGTGAAAGGATTTTGAGGTTCAGGGTATGCCCATGGGCTCAGGTTTCAATGGTCGAAGCTCGGGGTTGGTCTTAGATCGTGGTTTGCCAACGAGCACTGCTCCAAACTGGCTGGTGCGTATAGCAGCTATATCAGGCTATATCACCTTCTTGCCAGTTGCCAATCTTAGCGGATTCATTGCCTGCCGTGTAAAGGTTCCAGTGTTTCACGGCGAACATGCGTCGGCCTGCCCAGAAGATCGACGAAAAGCTCACGGCATTCCTGGCCCGGGCCGCTTGTTGTCTGTCTCATCCCACTCCGCCCCCGTGGTGAGCTCGTGACGGCAGGTCTCCTCAGTGGGCCCGTGAAAGGAATGTTCGGCTTGGGTATGCTCAAAGGGTAGGGAGGGCGCTTGGATTGGTAGGTGGGTTGTCAACTATGGTGTTCATAGGGCTTCATTCACCCCCACTAGCCCAGGATTTGTCCGTCCGCACGGGCGAAAACGTGCGGGCGTGACTCTTCAGGCCCCATGGACAAAAGCCAGGTGGTTTTGTTGCTTGCAACACTCGATGTGCTAAAACGCGTGGCCAACTGAGTCCCAAGGTCAAGGGGGTGATGTTTTTTGCTTGCTGCCGTTTCAGGGGGTCCAAAAAGGCAAAAAGGAGTCCAGAATTCTGAGGGTCAGTGGGGAAGCCCGAGCTACTTGGAATCCCCAAGATTCCTCGGATGTTGATCCATTTCTGGAAACTCCCAACCTCCTATCTTGGGAATGATTCCGTTTCGAAGGGAAACCAATCCAGTTTTGTCGGATTCCTATTTTGATAAACCCCCCATTCCCGCGATGCCCCGATCCCCCGACCGGTCTCTCCTGGCTCCGCTTCTCGCAGGGCACGTCTGGCACGCAGGCCTGCGACGCCACGTCCCAGCTGCACCTTTGCAGAGATGGAGACGTTCTTTTCCGGAGGAACCCCTTAAAGGGAAGAAAGAAAACAAAACGGAAGGAAACCAACAATTTTCGGGGTTGACTTGAAGGGAAACCCAGTAAAGGCAAACTCATCAATTTGGGGTTGGGTGAATGCCAGAAAGGGGGAACTAACTCTTTCAGAAGAAAACCAAAGCAAAATCTGCAGAGTACACTCCCATGTGCCATGCCCATGTGAGGGAAAAAAAAACCTCCCCAGATTGACACGTAATTACCTGAAAGTCAGCCTGGAGCCCCCCAAAAACACATTTGCAGAGGTCTAAACTTGCCTTTTCCACATCCCCCGCCCTCCCCCCCATTGTTTTCAGCGGCTTCCTCCTCAGAATTTCCGAGCGCAAAAAAAAAGCGCAAAACGCGTTCCGGACGATCTTCCGGCGTGAGAGGCGCTGGTGCTGGTGTCGGAAGGAGATGCACTCGCTCTGCGAGGGGTGGGAGCCACACTCCCCGGCGGCTTTCACGGCCGCCCAGCACGGAATCAGCGCCAAAAGCTTCATGGCGCAGCGCTTTCAGCAGCGATGGGCCCAGCAAAGGAGCACCGAAAACGAGGAGGAGGACCCTGAAAAAAGGGGCACCTGCATAGCAAGGTCAAGAGGTGGCCAAGTTTTGTTACCGATGTTGATTAGTGAGTTTCACCCCTCAGACGGCTTGCTGCTCTTGTCATCGGTGACATGTGAGGTGCGGTGGGTGCTAGGCACAAGCTACCATGTGAAACACTCCATTTAAGTTGTCAAAGCTCAAAGCCACACGGCAGCAACGCAGGAATGAAATATGGCAAGAAAACCAGCAAGATTCAATTATCTCGGTTTCGAGACAGCATGAGCACCACCACATACCTGGTATAAAATGCAAGTATCTTTACAGAGAGGTGCTTGGCTGAGCGGGAAATGGCTATGACAAGTGAAAGCTGATCAGAAAAAGGCCCCCCATAGCCCGCTACCTCGCTGGGTTACTTGCATGGTTGTGTATAATGTGAAGAAAGCATCCCTCTTCTGCCGCAGGACACACAAGCCAACATCGCCTGCTACAATCACACATTAACAGTTTTTCCACGCACTTGTCGAATCAGGTAGCAAAAGAGCACCACCCTGGTTCTTCTATGGGTCCTCCTCAAAATACCAAAATGGCTCCTTTGAACTGTCCCAAAATGACCTCTAGGGTTACCCAAAAATACATCCAAAAATCAACCGATTCGCAGGGAATCGCAAAACACCTGTCATATATATATATATATATACATACGCCTGTAAATACTGTTTTGTGTATATGTATGTCACGCACCCATGTAGCTTTGCAACCGAGACGACCCCGGTACTCATCCTTCGCCGCCTCGAGGCTACTCTTGGCGCTCTCCAGGAAGCCAACTGACCGCTCCAAGACCTTGCGCAGGGCAAGGCATCTTCCCCCACTTCGGGAATCTCGTGTTTGATGAGTTTCCCATACTATGTTTCAGTTGAGATGGTTCCCTCTTTCGTACTCTTAAACCCTTCAACTGCCAACAAAAAAAAAAGCTGAAGGGCCCTCGAAGAGCAACAACATTTCACTAGATCACACAGGGTTTCGGGAATTGCTACCTCTTCAGTGATGCCGGAGCCCCGGCCCTCCTAACTGAGCATTCATCTCAAGACAAAGGTTCCGGTAGCAGTTCCCACGCAGAGCTCAGGGATCGAGCCTGCACATCGCGGCGGTACTCATCCAGCAGGCGTCGGAGGGACTGCGCCTTGCAAGTTTGGCACAAGAAAGTTAGCTCTCGGTACATGCGTTGCTAGTGATTTGCTTCCTGTCTTTGCATCTGGAGTGGAACCCAAGACATTCAGCAGTGCGCATCTAAGCAAATCGAGGATGAAGAGCCCCCCAAATGCAAATGACCGGGGTATATCACTCACCCTTACAAACAAGTGGATGATCCCATGGCCCCATGGCTGTTGATACAATCACAGTACAGAATCCTCCGGACCATCTTGCAAATCTGGAACCTGCGCTCTGAAAGGAGGGTGGGTGCTGGTCACCAAACATGCATTCGCATGCATAGGTAAATCACACATGTATGGCTGCAAGATGGTTGCACAAGCTCCAAGACCAGCAACAAGAAACTGCCCACAGATCTGCACATCAGGCGCCCAAGCTCACCCCCCGCCTCGGCTGCGGAGCCTGTCTGATTCTGCCTCTGGCCAGGAGTGGCCATATTGCACGGGAAATGGGAACAGCGGGCTTCTTGAAAAGGCAAGCTTTTTGGGGTCTGCTTAAAAGGAAACCAAAAGAAGCCAACCATTTCAGGGGTTTTGAGCCAAACCCACATGGACAGTTGAAAAAGCTTCTTTTCTGGGTGCCTTTGAAACCATCCAAACGGTGGGAGGGCCCTATCTCTGAAAACGGCCCAGGAAGGAGGGGGTCTTAGTTTGCGACTTGAGATGTTTACTCCGGAGCCCACAAGGAACTGCCATCTGGCAACTATCCAAATCGCTGATCGCGCAACACCGGCGTGTTCCATGGCGTTGGGAGCCTGTTCAAGCTAGCGGACTGGATCCTTTGGGTTTCACCGTTGGGCTGGGATTGATGGGGCCGGGGGGGTGGGCCAATGATCGTGTTGGCACGAAAACCCCCCCGAGTCTGGTGACCCTCGTGTTTGCAGGGGGCTGTGGTCCTTTTTTGCTTCGCTGCTGCCTCAGCACGGCTCCACTCTTATGCAACCCGTACCATAGCTGTCTGTCAAGCCTGTGCGCGCAAAGCTCACAATCCCTTGAGAGAAAACCGAGCTCTACGCTAGCTAATGCTGCGCATATACTCATTTGGTCACAAACCAAACACTGCGTCATCTATTGGTCTCCAAAAACAACCGTATCAAAGTAGATACCAGGGACATGTCCTTGACGCAGTTTACATGGGTTCTTCGGGACCTCCTCAGAAGCGGAGAAAGCGGATGTAGCCGACGAACGTACGGATGTTTAAGCCACTGTTTAAACAAGCTCTTTTTGGCTTCCCTTTAAAGGAGACCGGGTGCCTTGTCTAATCATATTTGGCCCACTACTCCGTGGGCTCAAGCCAAACATGTCCGCTTCCAGGGATAAGGCTGCGGCCGCAGGAAAACACTCTCCCTGCGCAGCAAATCGTACCTGGCCGCCAGAACTGCCAAAAACCCAGCTCGAAGAAGCTCCTTCTTTTAGTAGAGTCGTCCGGATTAGTCCAAAACTCCAGATTGATTCAACTTTCTGCTCCCATCCCCTCGCAATCAGAGCTGATCAGTTGGTTGTAATTAGAGGGTAGTTGAAACGTTGTTAGGCCTTTCGCCGGCAGCTATCCCATGGCCTCATGCTCAGCTGACTACACATTTGAGATAACGAGGAGTCAACGTCCGAAATAGAACGATCACCTGTTCAAAACAGCTCGTTTTAAGAAGTTTGAGGAGTCAACTCTGGTGCCCCGCCTTTTCGAATCTTGAATCCCGCCAGCTTGCCCACCCGCCTTCCACTATGCCTAGACAGCTTCAAACTGAACACCCTCATAACCCTCAAATCTCCCTCCTCCACTCTTTGTCCAAGCATGTTCAAACAGCCATTTGTGAAAACAACGTCCTCTTAGTTGCCCTAAGAACACCATCTGTTTGCAGCTCAACCCCAGTCCCCCAGTCCCCCAGGTATGGCGGACCTCTATCTTGGTCTGGGCCCCGGCATCCGCCAAACACCGCCCGAGCGCGCCATTGGAGACGAAAAGGAAACCGACACGAAACCCAGCACCAAATCCACCGGAAAAAGTCCCTCAATTCTTTGCCCCCTTGAACACATTCAACTTCCATTTGGGCTCCAGAGGTCCATCTGGGCTCCAAAGGTCCATAGGCATAGGTTCCATTTCGAGCTCAAGCGCGCCAGGGCCGGCTCCGCCCGCAGCTCCACGAGTTGGCCCTGGGAGGCGCTCAGCTGCCGCTGCAGCTGCCGCGACGCGGTCTCGCCCCTGTCTGGTGCTGCGGCAGCCTCCCAGGAAAAGGCTTTCAGCGCCTTAAGGGAACCTCGAAGGAGATACAAGCAGGAAACGGAGGAGGAGAAGGAGGAGGAGGAGGAGTTGGAAAGTGGACATTCCGGAAGATGTCAACAAACAGTCGCAGAAAGGATATGACCCAACACTGCCAGCCGTCCCGACCGTGTCAATCCTTCCAACCCTAAACCCACCGCAAGTCAAACCCTGATCCAGCCAGCCCTACACGACGCGTCGCCAACTCCGCCGACCCCTTCTCCTCAAAGGGGGAGGCGTACGGGAAGGGCGGTTACAAGTCCAAGGCTGGCTGGTAAATATACGTTTCAAGTGTCCCGTTAGACCCGATTTGAGATGCAGAAGATGCGTGGACATGATTATCATGATGACTGCTGGTGATGCTGAGGATGCGTCATTATGATTATCATGTCAGTTCATCATCATCATCATCAGCATCATCACGGTGCTTATCATCATCATCTTCTTCGTCATCGTCCTTATCTTTTTTTATATACGTTTCAAGTGTCCCGTTAGACCCGATTTGAGATGCAGAAGATGCGCGGACATGATTATCATGATGACTGCTGGTGATGCTGAGGATGCGTCATGATGATTATCATGTCAGTTGGTGTTCATCATCATCATCTTCTTTGTCATCGTCCTTATCTTTTTTATATACGTTTCAAGTGTCCCGTTAGACCCGATTTGAGATGCAGAAGATGCGTGGACATGATTATCACGATGACTGCTGGTGAGGCTGAGGATGCGTCATGATGATTATCATGTCAGTTCATCATCGTCATCATCATCATCATCAGCATCATCACGGTGCTTATCATCATCATCTTCTTCGTCATCGTCCTTATCTTTTTTTTTATATACGTTTCAAGTGTCCCGTTAGACCCGATTTGAGATGCAGAAGATGCGCGGACATGATTATCATGATGACTGCTGGTGATGCTGAGGATGCGTCATGATGATTATCATGTCAGTTGGTGTTCATCATCATCATCTTCTTCGTCATCGTCCTTATCTTTTTTTATATACGTTTCAAGTGTCCCGTTAGACCCGATTTGAGATGCAGAAGATGCGTGGACATGATTATCATGATGACTGCTGGTGATGCTGAGGATGCGTCATGATGATTATCATGTCAGTTCATCATCATCATCATCAGCATCATCACGGTGCTTATCATCATCATCTTCTTCGTCATCGTCCTTATCTCTTTTTACATACGTTTCAAGTGTCCCGTTAGACCCGATTTGAGATGCAGAAGATGCGCGGACATGATTATCATGATGACTGCTGGTGATGCTGAGGATGCGTCATGATGATTATCATGTCAGTTGGTGCTCATCATCATCATCTTCTTCGTCATCGTCCTTATCTCTTTTTAATATACGTTTCAAGTGTCCCGTTAGACCCGATTTGAGATGCAGAAGATGCGTGGACATGATTATCATGATGACTGCTGGTGATGCTGAGGATGCGTCATGATGATTATCATGTCAGTTCATCATCATCATAATCAGCATCATCATCACGGTGCTCATCATCATCATCTTCTTCGTCATCGTCCTTATCTTTTTTATATGCGTTTCAAGTGTCCCGTTAGACCCGATTTGAGATGCAGAAGATGCGTGGACATGATTATCATGATGACTGCTGGTGATGCTGAGGATGCGTCATGATGATTATCATGTCAGTTCATCATCATCATCATCAGCATCATCACGGTGCTTATCATCATCATCTTCTTCGTCATCGTCCTTATCTTATTTTTTATATACGTTTCAAGTGTCCCGTTAGACCCGAGTGGAAATGCAGAAGATGCGCGGACATGATTATCATGATGACTGCTGGTGATGCTGAGGATGCGTCACGATGATTATCATGTCAGTTGGTGTTCATCATCATCATCTTCTTCGTCATCGTCCTTGTCCCCTTTTATATACGATTCAAGTGTCCCGTTAGACCCGATTTGAGACGCAGCAGATGCGTGGACATGATTATCATGATGACTGCTGGTGATGCTGAGGATGCGTCATGATGATTATCATGTCAGTTCATCATCATCATCATCATCAGCATCATCACGGTGCTTATCATCATCATCTTCTTCGTCATCGTCCTTATCTTTTTTTTATATACGTTTCAAGTGTCCCGTTAGACCCGATTGAGATGCAGAAGATGCGCGGACATGATTATCATGATGACTGCTGGTGATGCTGAGGATGCGTCATGATGATTATCATGTCAGTTCATCATCATCATAATCAGCATCATCATCACGGTGCTCATCATCATCATCTTCTTCGTCATCGTCCTTATCTTTTTTATATGTTTCAAGTGTCCCGTTAGACCCGATTTGAGATGCAGAAGATGCGTGGACATGATTATCATGATGACTGCTGGTGATGCTGAGGATGCGTCATGATGATTATCATGTCAGTTCATCATCATCATCATCACCATCATCATCACGATGCTATCATCATCATCTTCTTCGTCATCGTCCTGATCATTTTTTAAATACGTTTCAGTGTCCCGCTGACCCGATTTGAGATGCAGAAGATGCGCGGACATGATTATCATGATGACTGCTGGTTATGCTGAGGATGCGTCATGATGATTATCATGTCAGTTGGTGTTCATCATCATCATCTTCTTCGTCATCGTCCTTGTCTCTTTTTATATACGGTTCAAGTGTCTGAGATGCAGCAGATGCGTGGACATGATTATCATGATGACTGCTGGTGCTGCTGAGGATGCGTCATGATGATTATCATGTCAGTTCATCATCATCATCAGCATCATCACGGTGCTCATCATCATCATCTTCTTTGTCATCGTCCTTATCTCTTTTTATATACGTTTCAAGTGTCCCGTTAGACCCGATTCGAGATGCAGCAGATGCGTGGACATGATTATCATGATGACTGCTGGTGATGCTGAGGATGCGTCATGATGAGTATCATGTCAGTTCATCATCATCATCATCATCAGCATCATCATCACGGTGCTCATCATCATCATCTTCTTCGTCATCGTCCCTTATCTTTTTTACATACGTTCAAGTGTCCCGTAGACCCGATTTGAGATGCAGAAGATGCGTGACATGATTATCTATGATGACTGCTGGTGATTGCTGAGATGCGTCATGAATGATTAATCATTGACAGTTCATCATCATCATCATCACCATCACGGTGCTCATCACCATCATCTTCTTTTGTCATCGTCCTTATCTCTTTTTATATACGATTCCAAGTGTCCCGTT